GATCATGGTGATCATGCCGATGTTTGTATAAAATGATGGTATGCTGATGACACTGAAGGGTGATGCTTGCAACAGACAGAAGTGGCGATGACGGCGATAGCGCTGCGATGATGGTGGAGGCGATGGTGGTGAAGGTGATGCAGGCGACGTTGGCAATGATGGCGAGAGTGGGGACGATGGTGATGATGGCGATAATGGTGACAAATTGTGGTGGTAAGTTGCAGCACATGTTGCAGATGGTGCCGATGGCAATAATATCTAAACTGGCTCATGCCCATGATCGTGGAAACCATTTGCATTCAGTGTAAATTGAAGAAGTGGTCACTTGTGTTGCTAAAGTGAGCAAGCCTCGGCAACGCCTGGCGGTCAGGAAACCAAAGACAGCCTTGTCATGTAATTCAGGGGCCTTGATAGCTAGAACAAGGTTTTCGAGTATGTTACGTATAGTTTCATTCCACAGGGACCCATGTGGCGGTTTGCAAAGGTCCCGTTTGACATCCGTAGATCCCAGAGATCCAAAGCGTCACTCGTGTATATAATAACCCCCAAAAGCCAAAAATAAAGCAATCAGAACTCAGAGAAATCTCCATGTTGCCGTAAAGCTTGGCGGTTCACTTGTCACCTCAACACCTCTTGCACGGAGCAGGGCTCAGGTCCAAGCTGGCTATCGAGAGCAGGCCTCTGAGAGAAGCTGGAATTGGGGCGAGGCGTTTTCGGTTTCAGGACTATTTCGCCAGTGCATTCATCTCAGAATGTAGGAAGGGCCGGGCGGCAGGGCCGGGGGTCCCCGTTTCTGTGAACTAGTCCTAGTGGTGCTTCTTCACCTCTTGGCAAGCGACAAAGACGACAGCTCTAGAAAAGCTCGCATGGCCTGCGGTCCCAGAGTTGTTGGTGTTTAGGGCTCTTAGTGCTTGCAGGAATGCTGGTGCTTTCAGGGGCTGAGTTGTAGGGCTTTCGGGACTATCGCAGCAGCAAAAAGGTGGTCGTATACTGGCACGAAGCAGTGCGTTGCAGTGACCCCTGTTGCACAAGTATTTGCAGAGCGACGTCTACAAGAAAAGCAACAAAAGAAGCTAAATCCAAGTCGAAACACCCCTTCTGTATTGTTGTTGTGGATCCATGCCGAAGGTTTACGTTTTGGACTGGTGCAGGGCATTTGTTTGACGCTTTGGTTTTCATATCCGAGACAGTCTAACGGCATGTAAGGGGCCCTGGGATTTAGGATTCAGGAAGACACCGTACTATGAGTGATCCCAATCGAAAAGCCGCGACAAGACGAAGCAGAACACTTCTTGATGGCTTCGACCCCCCATCATGCCCCAAGTGCTTCAGCCACGGATAAGACGGCTTGGTCAGCCTACAGCCTGCACAGACAGCTTCGGGGTTGTCTCGCTTCGATTGTGTGCAAGGCCTCACGGCCACACTCTGTCGGGTTTGAGAACTGTGACACAAACGGCGTGTGGCTTCTGGTAGTTTTGCAGAGGGATGCACCCGAAGGTCCTGGAGATCAAGACATGATTCCCTGTTTCCATGCGCCCGGAATCCGAGATCTCATGCCCTCAACCCTAAACTCTAACCGCACAAACTAATCCCGAAACCCCCCAGACATCTGGGCTCTCGGCATGCCACCTGAGGCAGGAACTGCATAATCAAGGGGCCGTTATCATTAGAATGGAATGTGGGGGTATTCTGTGCTCTACTTGTATTGTTCGGGAACCGCACGGTTAAGTACCTATTCCTAGTTATTCCATCGCACTCCAAATCGGCGGGGGTGGCAGGGTATTGGGCTCTCTGAGTTTCGGTGGAGTTCTAGCTTTGGGTTTTCACCTTCAAGCTTGTCCGCGACGAAACGGCACAAAGTCGGCTTGAGGCTTTCATTCGCGGTCCACTCCAGGGTTTAGGATTTGGGAGGTAAGGGCGCGTTGGCAAAATTTGCAAATCTTATTATGCAAGTACGAACCCTTCATGGTTTTGTCGGCTTTGCACATGTAGAATTCCTCGAGCTTCTGACCTGGGGCCCTGTACGAGCAGGCCTTAGGACTGAGGCTTGAGCCCATTCTGACATCTCTGTGAGAGAAGGGTGGCAGGGATGGGATGAGGGGTATGTGAAAAACGCGCGAGTGGAGCAGGGGCAACCCTGGCCCTTAAGACGTTTTCTCCTCAAGTTGCCCTAGACTCTAGACTATTCCTCCAATCTCGCTGAGGGCCCGGGCCCTGCTCCGCAGCCTTGGGTTTTCTCTGATCTGAGAAGCTCAGGGTGCGACTCTTCTTTCCACCCATCATGCTGGGGTCCATGCCCATCCTCGCCGCAAAAGTGGAGGAGGCAGGCAACAGCTGGAGCAGCACCAAGACTAGAACGTCGCAACAGTCGTCAAACAGCAAGAGAAGCAGCCAAACCACCCTTGCTTGCTCCCAAACCCTACTGTAAACGAGGCAGGGGTGAGTAAGCTTAGGACTCAGTACAGCAGACGAAAACGATTCGCAACTTCCGCGTCCGACTGCTTGGCGCAACTTGCTCAAGTCCGGCGAAAATCGCTTCAAGACCCGTACTGTGCAACACTTCAACTCCTCGAATGTTCAGGCCCCTCCGTACTGGCGAAGGATCCCTGTAAACTTCTGCTCTTACTCTCTATAAACCCTCTACCCATTATAACAGTCTAGTATAGTAAAAGTATAGTACTATTATAGTATAGTATGATAATAGTATAGTAGTCAAGCTACTAGTCTTGAAGCAACGGGCTTCTCAGCTCCGGGCTGCTTCATCATCGACCTCGGCAGCCCGGGGGTCGTTGCTTCCCGGCATGCTGCACAATGTCCTACAAATTTGTGGGCGTTCGGGGTGTTCGAAACCCCTCTCAGTGCAGCGGACACGGATTCTGATAATGGGCTACCGTCGTGTGGCATCCTTATGCAGCATCTTTGCGACACACCCAGCTTCTTTGAGCTGCGGGTGCTTGTGGCTTCGACGCGCAAAACAGAGCCGCATCCAACCCCAAACCGAAGCTCCAAAGAAGCCTGATGGACCTGCAATTGGAGGCTTGCTCTCATTTTATCGAAGCCTGGTGTGTTTCAATATTAGCTTCCAACCAGAATCCTCTACTTGAGTAACACAGCGCCCGGATTGATTGAAAACTAACACAAGCACCCCTTCTCCGGAGCTTATTGGAAGGGCGGGTTTTCTCAAAGGTTTGTCGTCTTCTCCTCGTTTCGATTACGGTTGCTGCTCATCCTGCCGCTGCTGTACGGTAAGTTGCTGCGGTGGAAACCGCAGGTGAAGCCCCAAGAAACTTCGATCAAAAACTAGACCGCTGGATAAGTTGAAATGTTGAATGTTGAAGAACCCTCGGCTTCGTCTGGGATGTGAGAATGGCTCGACATGAGGGTCGCAACCATGAACTCAAAAACTCAGATCCTGTAAAAACAGTCACCTGCTTTTCAGAGTCCCGCATGGACTTGGGACCCTACTTCAAAACAACACAATTAAGCGATTCTAGAATGATCGGAGCCGGTTTCCCGAGCTTGTCTTGCGACTGTCGAGGGCCCCGGCTTGTTCATGCCGCCACCACCTCCCATGCCACCTGAGAGTCTGCACCGGTGATATGCCGAGAAGATACTTCATGGTCGCTGTGCAGCTTGCACTTCTACCGGTACTGGTGCCAGGTGGCGGTGGCAGTCGCTGTCGCTGGAGCAGTGGCGCTGAAAGAGATGGTGGTAGCCGTTGTGCTAGTGAGATAGAAGCAGTGGCAGTGGCAGTGATAGTGGAAGTGGCAATGGTAGCGGAGTGGTAGTGCTGCTGCTGGCACTCGTGGCAACGGCAGCGGCAGTGGCAAGTGGTGGTCGCCACAGCCATAGTAGTAGGTTAGTAGTAGTCGTCGTCGTAGTAGCAGCAGAAGCAGTCACTCAGCAGCAGTAGCAGCCGACCAGTACTAGTGTAGTATTGGTGTAGTGCTAGTAGTACTAGTAGTGCGCAGTAGCACAAGTAGTACTGGTAGTACTGGTAGTACTGGTAGTACAAGCAGCACTGATAGTACTGGTGGTGCTGGTAGTGCTGGGAGTAGTCGTCGTCGTAATCATAGTCGCCGGAGCAGCAGCAGCAGCAGCAGCAGTAGCAGTAGCAGTAGCAATAGCAGTGGCAGTAGCAGTAGCAGTAGCAGTAGGAATAGTAGTAGTAGTAGTAGTAGTAGTAGTAGTAGTAGTAGTAGTTGTTGTTGCTGTTGTTGCTGTTGTTGCTGTTGTTGCTGTTGTTGCTGTTGTTGCTGTTGTTGCTGTTGTTGCTGTTGTTGTTGGGGTTGTTGCTGTTGCTGCTGTTGCTGCTGTCGCTGCTGGGGCTGCTGCCGCTGCTGCCGCTGCTGCCGCTGCTGCCGCTGCTGTTGGTGTGGCTGTTGCGGTGGCGGCGGTGGTGGTGGTGGTGGTGGTGGTGGTACTGGTACCACCCTAGCACGCCAACGACAGCTCCAGCAATAGCAGTAGCAGCAGCAGTAGCAGTGCCGCTGCTAGTGGCAATCGTATTGGGAGTAGCGGCGTAGTCCTAGCAGCACAAACTTCATGATAGCAAGCCACCCCCAAAAATGAACAACCATACTTTCAACAAATCCAGTATTGAGCTTCTCCGGCCCTAGGGGTGCTCTCGAGTCAGTCAACTTCAACAACGTCGGAGACCCCCCCCCGTCCCCTCAAACGATAAACCCTTCCATCCGATGGTTGCTCTTTCTTCGGAAGTTGCCTTGGAAATGCTTGGCCCCGGGCCCATCATCCCCATCATCGGGTTCATCATGCTCATCATGTTCATCCTCGGCTGCTCGGAGAAGTCTGCACCGCAGCACAAAGCAATGCAGTCCTGTCAATCTCTCTGAGCCTCACAACAAAGCATGGGCGAGGGCAGCCTGGGCACATATGTGTGCACGTATGTACGTATGTATGTATGTATGCATATACGTATGTACATATATAGATATATGTATATGTATATGTATATGTATATGTATACATATATATATATGCTATATATATATATATATATGTATATATATATATGTAGGTATATGCATGTAGATATGTGTAATTATGTCTGTGTGTGTGTGTATGTGTCTGTGTCTGTGTCTGTGTCTGTGTCTGTGCGTGTCTGTGTCTGCGTCTCTGCGTGTGTGTGTGTGTCAAGGAGTGCATGCCAAAGCTGCTGAGGCACATCATCATGGAGGGGTCCATGCCCATCATCTTCAGCATGGACGGGTCCAGTCCCATTTGCTTCATCATTTTCTGGCAGAGCGCTTGCGCTTTCGGGAATTCAGCACTCCCTATAGCCTTGATATACACATATATTATAACAAACAGATCGTGTGTGACAGATTTAGAGAGGGAGAGAGAGAGAGAGAGAGAGAGAGAGAGAGAGAGAGAGAGAGAGACAGAGTTAGGTATATAATACATGAAGAACTATATTGTGTAATATCTAACCCTCTCCAAGTAAGGCCTTTGAGAACCGAAGCTCTGATGAGCAAGCCTGCTTTGCCATCATAGTCCCGAATCTCACTCGCGATCATCATACCCTACTCGTAAACCAGAAGACCCGCTTGTTTCATGGGGACACAACAAGGAACCTCAAAAACTGTACATCGCCCGTCTTCCACAACCAGGCCTGCATGGATTTGGGGTCCATGCCTCGGCAGGCACCAGTGCATACTCACAGGGGGATTGCCTGAAAGGGGACGGCCCACTCAGCATCGAAGCAATTTGCCATGGCCCTCGACCGAATACCCCGGTCATGCCGCATTGTCTTGGGTTTGGGCCACAGGAACATCGACTAGGAGCGTAAGGATCTTCACAAGATGTGGGCTGTTTCTGGCATTCTTCTAGTGGTGCAGAATTCTGTGGAACGGGAGGAGCCAGCCAATGCGGAGATCGTCCAGGGCTTGACCTCTAGAGAGCCTAATGCCCCATCTAAGGCTTTACGATATTGTTACTCTTACTACTATTACTACTATTACCACTATTGCTTCTATCACTACTATTACTACAATTACTACGATTACTACCATTGGACTAGGAATCAAAACATAGCAACACAGCAAAGAGATGCACTCAGGGCATGGGATTTAGGACAGACTTTGGAAGGCTTGCCAAGCCTGGGACTAGCTCTTGGAGCCCTTCAGCATTCCTCTTCCGCAAGCCCCGAACAGCTCAACTGCAAAGCCGACCTCATCTCGAAACCTGGAACACTTTAAGGGCTAAGCGGCCGAGGCCCTTAACCCTAAACTCCTTTAGGCACTCTCAAGCACCGTGAAGCTCTGGAACCCGGCCCATCTGCTTCATCATCGCAGGATCAAGACCTGGACAAACTCGAGGCTGTCCATCCCCTCATCTATTCACCTCTCTGTTCGTTTATGAACTTGTCCTCGCATGGCGGGAATGACCGATGTATGGTTTTCCGTCTACGGATGGCTTAATCTCTTCGCTATTCGCGAAGTTAGACAAATGATAACGGAAAATAAGGGAACCACGAATGTTACTTCAGGCGTTGGCCAGTCGGTAAGATCAGCAGAGATGGCAAAAGAAGACAACAAGGTAGGCATTTCATTCTGACAGCAAGGACATCACAACATTGTTGTTACTAGCAAGAAGTGGTGTCTCATTATGCATAGTCATCTCAAGCAGTCAAACAAGCGCGCCAAAACAGCAAGTATGCAAACAGAACAACTAGACTACCAGCTACTAAAACAACAGCGAAACCCAACAACTGCAGCATCAACAACAACAGGTGAACTGCTCTGGCGTCACCCCTTCTTGTGAAGGCACTGGTGCTCGAAACAGGGGAATGCATTGGCAACCACATACTACTACTACTACTACTACTACTACTACTACTACTACTACTACTACTACTACTACTACTACTACTACTACTACTACTACTACTCCTGCTGCTACTACTACTTCTGCCACCACCAGCACCTCCAGGCTTCTCCTACTGTACTGCTGCTGCTACTACTACCACCACTACTGCTACTACTACTAGCACTGCTATTAATATGGCCACCGGCACCACCAGATACCACCTTCCACCACTACTGCTGCCACTGCCAGCCTCATTCAAGTCCAGCAAACATTAACAATCAAAGCCGAAGCCAGATCTCCCGATGTTGGCGTGTGGGAGCCTGCAGCTCCGAAGGACCCTAGGTGCGCGGCCCATTTGCTTCATCATGTCCTCCATTTGGCTGGTGCCTAATTCGCACAAGGTTTCGGGTTCAGGGCAGGTCTGAAGCCTGAGAGGTGTATCAAACAAGACCAACCCTTTTTTTGCTACTGGACTCAAGTCTAGCCAAACCTCGACCTGCAATCATCTTGACTGAGGCCAAGTCCAAGTGCTTACTGTTAGAGACATAGCAACAACACAAGACCAACCCCGAGCATCAAACCCCTCCCACCGCTCCGCAAGCTTGAGGCAAACACAGCGGCGAAGGGTTGGACCGCAGCTCCGCACAGCTAGCGAACAGCAACAGTAAAAGCAGCAGCAACAAAAACAAAGGCAATACGAACTACGCCTGCATGCACGTGGTGACGGAGAACAACGCTCACCATGATCAACTACATGGCTTACACCGTTGCGTTTGTACACATCGTCTTTTCCGCTTGTATGTATGCATTCATGCATGCACGTAGGTCCCCTGGCTATATATGCATGATAATAAGGCCCTGGAGTATGGGGAATCTTGACAACCTCCCAGGTCTCCGGCTTGATGACTTCTTCTCTCCACCACCGCTGCCACCCTCCATCTCGCCCAGCCTGCGAATCGCATTGCTCGGGATTTTTTTTGAACCCTCGTGTCTTTTGGTGATTGCTCGGGGTTTGGAGTTCAGGGTTCAGGGTTGGGGTTCAGGATTTAGAGCTTCACGTGGAGGGTATTGGAGCGATGTGGGCTTCCGCCCCCACGCTCAAACACTCCAGACCAGGATGTCCGTTGAGGTTAGTGCTTGGGTTTGGGATGTACGGTTCGCAGGGTTTTCAGTCAGACAAGGTTTCAATTTCGAAGACGTTCCTCTGCACTCCTGCAAAAGGCCTAGAACTGGCCACAGAGCCTCTCAGCAGAGCAACCTGCAGCCTCAACTATACGGATTTGGTCGGGTTTGGATATGCGGAACAAGGCTTTCGGGAAGACCTATCGTAAAAGCATCTTTCGATTATGAAGGGAGATTCGTTGTGCTTCTTCTTGCCGTCCATGTGAAGACCCAAGCCGTAGCCCTGTGTTCTGCGGACTGAGTGGGACAGGCTGCGTAGTTAGGCCAGCTTCTCCTTCACACCTTTTCGGCGCCCACAACTCAACTCGGACAGTCCAGGCGAGGCATGTGTCATATTGTCATCTTGTGAATCCGGACGGGACTGGCACTGAAAACACACGGTTTCGGGATCTCTGCGCGGGGAGGGGGGGGGGCATGTGCAAAAGAATTTTGTTTCAAACACCACCCCACAGCGAAAGCCCGCAACCGCCCAAACCCTAACAGCCGAAGAGGTCTCAGGCCAGGGCTTGGAAGCCATCTCCAGGTACTGCTGGGACCTCACCAGCCAAGAACTTTACAAGGATCTATAGTATCTATAGTGTTCCAGTTCAGGATGTATAGTGTTTCTGTCATGACTTATACCCGTCTTCTCTGAGGTGCGATGTGAGCTTTGCAAGCTTGTCTGGACCCTGAAGCTGCCCGGATTAAGACAGCTCGGCGCCTCGAGTTTGAGGGTTTTCACGCTTAGAGATGTGGGGATTTAGGATTTCGACGTCTACAGGATCTGCGGCTCAGTGGTTAGGATTTACTGCTGAGGATGTATGAGCGGGGGCTGAGGATCTAGCTTTTTTGGCACTCGCGCTCGACGAGACGAAATGAGGCGATGCTTCGGGTACACGTTATAGGACTTCGAGTTTGAGGTGTATAAGTTTGTGGTGTATGAGGTTTTCCGAGTAACACCCCCGCTTCTAAGATGGGCACTATATTAGGTTTTCTGTATGGGCAGGGGGTATTCGGGTCTTTTGTGTTGCACACAGCTCAAGGACATAGAGTTCAGTGGCTCTTAAAGGATGGCTGATCTTCATCTTGGCTGCTATTACTATTTCCACGTATTCGCTAACTTCTGCTGCTACTATCGCCGCTACTGCTGATACTGCTGCTGTTGCTACTGATATTGCTATTGCCAGAGCTTTGGCACTTCCTTTGAAACTGCCTTTCAGTAGACCTCAAAGTTTCACCGCATCTATCGATAACGAACACCCGCGAATTGTGACGATACTCTTCCCAAAGGTCACGCCAACAACAACCTGAGTAACTAAACCTTAAGCTAAGACGCAATAAACTTACCCCCAAAGAGCATCCTTGTACCCTTAAGGTTCTGAGCCCACCGCCATTTCTCGGAATAGTCTCCGCGATCCTCTTCCTGCGGAGTTGGAGTTTAAGTGTTAAGTCTGCAGGTGTGGCGTGTTTTCTGCAATGCAGAGTGTTTTGGGCTTAGGTCTTTCTCGCAGCAACTCAGGCTTGGGTTTGGGGTGGGCTCGGGGCTGCAGCCTTCTGGAGGTCCTTGCCCGGCCTTTCAGGCTAGTGTCGTACTGTCAAGAGGGTGCCACAGGGTGGGTGGGGTAGGGGCGGGGGCTTGAGGGAATCGACTATACAATTTACTCCTTCAAGGCGCAGGACCTGTGCGGCAAAAGCTACGATTATCGCGCCATGATGACAACTTGCAGATGCTGGATGAAGTGATACATGCTGAAGGCTGAAGCTGCCACACATTACCATTGCTTACGGACAGTGCTGCTCAGCATGTCGAACCATGCTATCATGTTAGCGGCAAGCACACGTGGAAAAACAACAATGATAAAATGTATGTAGACACATCATCGCAATCACAAGAACAAGGCTGAAAAGATGAATTCGGTAAAGACATGATCCACATCACTATATACTGCTTTCAAGATGTTAATGCAGCCGGTATGGATTCATGGATGTTCTCCTCAGGCTCGTCGTCATCCTGGCGATGGAGGGCTTGGAGCGTAGTTCTCTTGGGGTTTCGGTTTGGCGGAGGGCTGCGAAGAGGACGACAACGCAGCTCTTTAAGAGCGGCAGCAAAGAACGGGGATGATAAGATGTGGGAGCTACCAGTACCACTACCATCATCGCCACTAGCACTATGATTCGTCACGCTTCTGTTCCCTCGTTTCCGTTACCACCACCAGCCACCAAAACCAAGGTCATATCATCCGCAGGCTCGTGCCGCTTCATCATTACCTTCAACATCTTTCGCTGCAGCCCACCAGCAGCGACACTACAAGCGACGGCAGGAGCATAGTCGTAGTCATCATTGTCGTCACTCTCATCATCAACACCATGCTCTCCATCATAAGGGTACTAGCCGCAACAGTGTCAGCCATCATCGCTGTGACCACCGCCACTCTAGCACGATCTGTGAGTCTCGCCATCGCCTCTTCTTCCCCTACCACTCTTGCCGTTGTAGCAGTCAGACACCGCTAGCACCATCAACATCAGCATCAGCTCCACAATCAGCTTCAATATATGCTTCGGTCATTGCAAACCGACCACCATTGTCACAGCCACTCTCGTTGCTCTTACCGCTACCATCTCAACATGTCTCAACGACATGGCCATCACCGCACTCATCGACGTCAACCGTCACCAGCATCGTCATAGTTGCCGCCGCGGCGATCATCGCCAACAGCAGCACCATTCTACCACCATCGTCATCATCATGGTCATTTCGCCCTCATTACCATCATCGGGACCATGGCATCATCACCATCATCTTCATACCATCATCTTCACCATCAGGATCCACCAACACCCTCACCACCTCATCATCTTCTTCCTGTTCATGACCACCATAGACATAACCATCATCATCGCCATCGCAAGAATCATCGGCATTCTCGTCCTTATCTGCCACCTGGGTCATCAGCATCGTCATCACCGTCGATAACGTTGTCCTTGTCATCTCCTTCTTTCATCCACACAAACACCATCATCCTCGCTGCCACCGTCATGAGACTCATCGCCGTTTTGACTATCATAATCATCCTCCTCACCATCTTCGCCGTCATCATATTCACCACCACCATCACAACCATCACACAATCATGGTCGTAACCCAACAGCAACAACAACCACAACCACAACGACAACGACGACAACGACGACAGCGACGACAACGACAACAACGACAACAACAGCATCAACATACATCCTCACACTGTCTCTTGCGCGACTAGCATGGGCATCAGCATCACCATCGGTCGTGCTGGCGATCTTTTTGCCAGGCTTGCACAATTCCCATTCGACGTCTCACTGCCGCGACTGCAGCAGATCAGGGCTGGAGGTTTGGGTTTCGGGTCCCTAACAAACTCCACAAGGAAAGACCAAAGACCGATGCCATGCTCCAACGCCAGACGCCCTGAACGACTCGATATCAAGTTAATGTCCAGGGTGTTTTGTAGTGTTGCTGCAGCGGAGATCATGTTTCAACTCGCACACTCGCTGACAGGCTGAAGCAAGAACGAGTTTAGGCGATGGGTCCAAAACAACACACACACACACACCCACCAACACACACACACACACACGCACACACGCACAACACACGCACGCACGCACGCACGCACTTTTCTGTAGACCTCTTGGTCTAATGTGAGTCTGGAATGTGGCTCTTTTCTCCCGTTCCTCTTCCTCCTTCATGACCTATATCTAGATTTACTGATCTGCTGATGCCATTGTCTAGACGAATGGTCTCAAGGCTCATCTAGTTTGTCACACAAGAACATGGAAAAGCTTGACAGCATGCAAAGCTCCTGCGCACCTTCTCACACTCACGATCAAGTCTTCAAGCAAAACAACACTCCCAAGCACTCTGCAACTTCAGACATGAATGGTATATGGCCACTAAGCTGGAGTAACTCCCCCCATGTGCACCATGCAGGTATGTTTGCACAGCATACAAAAGCTTCTTCGTTGGCTGGAGACTTCTGTGCTGCACTCCAGCCCCCTGCAATGTTACTTAGCCCTTTGATACAGGGATGACACACACACACACAGACAGAGACACACACACACGCACGCACGCAAACGCGCTGATGGACACACGAAAGCCGAGACATCACAAGAAATACGAGCATGTCCCCAGAACTAGACATGATGTCTAGGGCTTTAGGTTGGCCTTCTGACCTCAGACCCTACTAATTACTGTAAGCCCCGAAGCCTGACGAGCCTGGAACCGAAACCCATCCAAACACCCAAACCTCCAACCTCTGCTAGCAGCTCTGACAAGGGATGGGAATGTGGGGTTTCTTTGCCCGGACCCGAAAGTCCGTGCTGGCCGACGTCGGCCCAAAGCCCGGCGGACAGCTACAGTCGGCCTGCCGCTCACACCGCTGCTGGGTCGTGTAAAAGCCACAGTGTGAGACTACTTCACACGCACGGCCTACATCCTCGCTCCTCTGGACAGTCTGGAGGTGCGACGTTGTACTGGGCTTGAAAAGGCGTGGCCGTGTTTCCCAGGGCAGTCTCAGAGACTCCCGTATGAGCTGCCTTCCGGGAGGGGTGGGGGGGAAGGGGGCAAGGGGGGAAGGCGCAAACCTGTCTCTGCCTACATCTCGTATATAAGGCCCCAAGTGAATCTCTGCTTTCGGAGCCCTCTGTCACCCGACTCGTCTCACGCCGGAAGATGCAGAGCAGCTCCAAGTTGGCCTCCTCAGTCGGCTCCAGGAGGATGAGATCTTATCCCCATGCCGCCATGCGTGTATCCTGCCTGTCTCTCTGTCTGTCTCTCCGTCTCCATGCTTGAGTATGATGCGCTGACAGACATATGATACAGACAGACATGCATGCATACAAACATGTTTATCACTCGTGCTCGACCAGTCAGACGAGGTTGAGGGAATCGAAAATCTCAAGCGGTCTAGGCATACGAACATAGGACGTCTGTCGGTTTGGAGGATGTCCGGGTGCAGCATCGACATGAGAATTTCAGTTTTGGCTAGGGCTGGGAATTTCAGATTGAGGAGGTAAGTATTTGAGTGGGCATGTATTCACGCCTCTAGGCCAGCTGAGACTGCACTGGCTACTCCTCGTGCGGCGTGGGCATCGCATTCATGGCGTCTCCATGCACGGGACCTCATCAAAGCCCCGAATGCCCATGCTGTCATGATATCGCGTTGTGCAGAACGCCATTCGCCAGCACTGCATCGTCTGAAGGACTATCAGCACTGGATTGCAGCGTGCAGGAACTCTCAAATCACAGCAACGCAGCAGGCACCATGCAGCTTTTTCCCCCTGTACCTGCGGGCTGATCCCGCACCCCTTGCAGCACAGGGCCGTCAACCCGAATGCTGGACACCTTTTCCTTCGATACGCAGACCTTTATTTCAAAGCCTATGCCTATGCTCTAAGTCATTTGCTACAAGAATAGCTTACATCTGATTTCTGGATTCTAAACCCATGGCTCAACTTGCCTCCACGTCCTTAATAGGAAGCCTGGAGTCCAGCCGCAGGTATCGGGCCCTGTGCTTAAAACTCCTAAACTACAATGCTCGGAGACAGAGACTTTGTGTCTGCCTGAGCAAACAGGCTCCAATCAGGCAGTGGCAGGTCAGGCAGCGGCGTGGCACCTCGCTGCTCCTGCACCGCCTGCAGAATTACGTACGTCGTAGATGCGCAGCGTTTCGCTTGTAGTTTTGTCCGCGTATGTTGCACGATGTTTTCTTCGCTTGGGCCACTTGAACCTATTAGGGAACTGGAGTCTTGGGATTTCATGTTTTAGAATGTTAAGGCATGTGGGATAGTGCGCCACCGTCCCTGCGCCGTAAGCCGATCGCCCACCCTACCATGATTCAATGGATGATCTGGATGTTCACTGGTCACAAAGGCCCTAGGTTTCTTAGGTCCTTCCTACATCAAACTGCCTTGGTTTTTTTCGCGGCCTCACTGTGTGCAGGACATCGTGAGCCCTTCGGGATGCAATGGCAGAGAGGGAGGGAGAACAGAATGAAAACCTGACAAAGGCAGTCTGGGAGGCGCACCTTGTCGAGAAAGGGCTTGAGAATGGTCTGTAGGAGCTCGGCCTCCAAAAGCCCAAAACAGTTTACGCTCTCGCAACTCGGACAAGCCTGGCGAGGTCTCTCGGTTCGCAGTCGGACAACCTCAGCCTTTAATCGCGACAGGTCTGGGTGAAACTTAGCGAACGAGACACACGAGTGCTCAGGAGGATCCCACGACGGCTGCAGAAGACCAATAAACAAAACGCGGTTTGGGGCTTGAGGCGTTGGGTCCGAGCCCAAAACTCGAACATCAAAAGAGCCTGCAGCAACGAAGCCTTGGGGGTGGACTTGGGGTCTCTGGAAGTCTCACGCATGCCAGGCGAACTGAGCAAGATCCTGGAGCTCAAAGCTTTGGGGATCTCGAGCTGTTTTGACCCTCACACTCGGACGTTTCCAGGAGTCTGGATTTCGTGAGTTTAGTCTTTTGACCCCCGCCGTCTACGTGTAGGGCGGGAAGGATTAGTTAGTTAATGCCGTGTCTGCGTTTACGGTCTTTCTGGGAGGACGACTTCATAGGCGGACGTGGACTCACCAATTCCCAAACCATAGGACCAATAAACCCGTGCAGTCCCTCGACCCGTGCGGTCCTAGGCAAAAAAAGCACTGCAAACCCACAAATGCCTACAGCCCACCCTGGACCATAGACCTCCTGCAAAAGACTTCGGGTGCGCGGAACGAAGTGCCACCACCCCACCTTGAAATCAGAGAGGAGGGGCAGCCCCTGGACAGCTAGCAGCATCCAGTAGCCTCGGCTTGAGTTTGAGTTTCGGGGTTTCGACTTCAGGATTTGCCTGCCTAGATCTATGCCGCTTATGCAGGGCAGTGCCTTTTTGTTGACACGCAAATTTGGACGAGTGCAGGAACAATGGTTTAGAGTCTTCGCTTAAGGCTCGGACAATCAGAGAACTCCAAATTGTTTACATAATGG